TCAAGTTGGAAGGCACACAAGTCACACAAGAGAAGCCCTTAGAGTTTAGGCCAGCATGGGGTCTGGGTAGTACCCTCTTGAAGTTGGTGGGTTCAACCTGTCCTATCGAAGTAACCGGGTTCTAAGGTTCCCAATATCACGGGATTGCTTTCATTGTTCATCGTTTCGATTTAGCCACTGAACTGGCGACCGAAATATTCCAGGAAAGCAACCCTCAATTGAGCGTAGTATCGAGTATCAACCAACCTCGGACTGCACCAAAGTCAGTTATCTCACTACCCTAAAGAGGCCAAGATGGTTCAATTAAGGTTCCTAAGGTCTGTTGATGCTTCACGACACCACGCGGAGGCCCTGTACTCTCCTTGACTGAACTCAAGGGTTACCGGTACACACCAAAGTGCCACATCAACATAGCAGACTGTTTCAACCATGTCGGTATACCCCACACAGTTCCCTCACAGCCTTGTTGCTACTTTCTAAGAAGGTATCCCCCAGATCCGGGTTAGGATCTATAGAACTCCCAAGACAGTCCCATAATTTAAAGCAAGCAAAGCAATACAATTGAAAACATAGTTGTGACCTAGCCCTAAGGTACACCTCACTTTATAAGATATCCCCAGCAGAGTCGCCAGTTCTGTGATCGGTGGATCTGGAACTGACTGTTTAACGTTGGTTCGCGAAATGTCGCGGAAGCAAGAGTCGCCACCGTCTTTTATTTTCTCTAAATGGAAAGGACAAAAGCACAGAAAAATTCCTTAAAGAGATTGCTCTCGGTTCGGGAGGTAGGTTATAGAAAGGGAAGGTGTTAGCACCCTTTCTATCCATGGTTATCCATGAGCTCTTAGATACTTGCTCACTTGTGTTTTCAAAATGGTTTATTTGCTTTTCAATATGGGTTTTTAAAAAGTTTCTTTGAAAATTCCAGTTCGACTCTTGTGTCAGAGTGTTTGAAAAATTGCCTTGAAAGCTTTTTGAAAATGTGTTGGTGTGAAAAGTATTTTTGTTTGTTTTGAAGAGAGCAAGTATCCATGAGTCGTCTACCTACCCTAAGGAATTCGTCTGTGTAAATGTCCTTTAAAGTAGTGCCATCCCACCATTGAGAGGTAGGTAGCACCACCGTTGGAGGTGTTCGGGTCAATTCGAAGTTCGGGACATGGTGATCACCGGAGTAATGGGAAGACACCTTAGAAGCTACCCTCATGCCAGGTTCCCGGATCATGAGGACTTACTAAGACATCCTCTACTCGACGATCACCTTTCGAGGCAAGGCAACAGTGAGGCGTACCCTAGGGGTGGTGTGTGCGATTCGTGTGTCGTTTTCATTTGTATTTGTCTTGTCATGTTTATTGGTGTTCTACGCTTGATTTTATTATGGCCATTCATTCTTGCATGCTTTGTTTAACAGTTAAAAGTTGCGAGGAAAAGTAAATCTAAAGCTATTACAAATGGCGCGGGTCCACATCGCCAAAATTAAACCGGACCCGATTTGACAGAAAATAAAGAAAGTAAAAGAATTAAAAGAATTGAAAAGAATGCGAGAAGTAAATGTTACAAAGCTTCGGGAGAGGTACATAATTATTCAAGCAATAAAATAGATACGCGAATTAAGGAGAATTAAGAACATGGGCGTTGGACCCTTTTGCAAAAAATTAAAATTAACGAGGAATTAAAATTAAAATTAAAAGAAAGCAAGAATTTGTTTTTTTGTTTTTGGTATTTTTATGTTTTTGAAGATTTAATAGAAAAAGAATTAATTAAAACTAAAATAAAATGTTAAACCTAGTTCTAATTTATTTTAAGTTATTAAGAAAAATATTGGAGTTTTTAACCTAATTTAAACCTAAGTTATTTATGTACAATTTAATTATAAAAATAAATAAATAAATAATATTATGGTGAAAAGGAAAATTAAAAGGAATAAAAATTATCAATTAAACCTAATTCTATATTTTTTATATTTTTATTATGAAAAGAATTAAAGTTGCAACCTAAATTAAAACTAAATTTATTTACATACAATTTGTTTATGAAAATAATTAAAATAAAATACTTATTATATTTTTCATCTTTTTCTGATTTTTATGAGGTTTTTTGTATTTGGTAAAATAATCAATTAATTAATTAAATTAAAACAATAAAGAAAATAAAATAACAATTGAAAATAAAATAAAAAAAGAAAATTGCAAACCAGGGGGGGTGGAAGTCCCCAAAGTGGAGGTATAACTTGGAATAGTCTGGCCCAAAAAACCTGGGTCCGTTTGACCTTTTTGAATAGTATGCTGAAGCGTTGACTAGGGCGTAGCGTGTTCTTGAGATCCATGCCCTTGATCTGATTTCCCAGGACGCGTGGACGTTGGATAATGAAGGTGTATGGTGAACCACCTTACTGAGCCTGCATATGAACATACATGGAAAAGTAATATTGAAAATAATCCAGACCTGGGACTCGAACCCAGGTCATATGCTTTGTCAAACCTCACGCTTGCCATCTGATCTCAACGCGCACTTTGTATATACAACAACAAATAAATAATAAAAAAACAAAAATTAGTTAGTGGCATAGAAACATGAAAAACGCGCGCTGATTCAAAAAAGGCCAATCACAGCTGGCCACGACTTCATCTTCTTCACGTGTTCCTGAAAACAAAAACATGTGGCAACGGTTTTCTATGCGTTGCTTAAGGTCAGTTTCAAGAAAATAGCGACTAGAGCTATGGTGTCCATAAATTAATCGCGAGTATGGATTCTTCTTCGTCTAAGCTTGCTGGTTTGAATGGTGGTGGTCTGGAGGACCAATTTTTCTTTAACAAGAAACCCCCAACTTAGAACTCTGTAAACCCTAAAAGTTAAACATGGCATATTCGTGTATACAGCGTAATAATCAAATTAAATGCATTGGTTAGCTTCACAACATCATAATGAACATGAATCAATGAATAAATTTCACAAATAATGCGTGGAATATGATATACGATTATGAGTTTTTTTCTGTACAGTTTTGATTCAATATACCAATTCTTGGCGTGGTGATGGATGCTTGTGATTGGAATGTGTTCAGGAACCTTCAAGGAAGCTAATGGAATAAGTCTTGTGCTTTGAATCGACCTGGAAAGCTGTTTTCAGTTTTGAGTTTTTAGAGAAAAATTCAAGTTTTTCAATGGCTCTTTTGCGCAGCTTTTTGTGTCCAGCATCATTAGGGTTATGATCATGCTTATGTACTGAATAGATTAGGTTAACAAAATTGATCCAAATATCTTTCATTCATGGATTTGGAGATTTGATTTTTCACCATTATGTTTTCAATCTTTTCCATGTGCTCTTGTATCAATTATGCTCAAATCAAATCAAATCTTCCTATTTTTGAATGTGCATGAAATATTGAGGGCAAAACATGCATGAAAAGATTTATTAGGTCAAGTTATATATTTTTCACATATTTAAATGATTTAAATGAATTAATATAAATAATAATTCAAATAAATAGATAAAAAATGAGAAAATACTTCCCTTTGGGCCAAGTGGTCGTGCACATGCTTGGAATGATGAATCATGGAAGAAAAATGGGCCCATTAACAATTTTAGGTCATTTGGATCAAAGTTGACTTTTCAAAATATCCAAAAATTTCCCAACTTCTACAAGGCATAACTTGCTCAATTTTTAAGCTTTTCTCATGTTCTTGGACATTTTGGAAAGGTCTTTGAGTCCTCTAACCAATGCCTTTGGTCCCATGTCATTTTGATTTACCAATCTCAAGTTATGTCCTTTGACTTAAAGTCCCTTTTTGTTGACTTTTGAAAATGACCTATAATGTTGAAATTGATAACTTTTTGTGAGAGCATTTCTTGGATTTGAAGTATGAAGATGAGTTGTAGGAAATGTCTTTCTCTTCAAAATGAGCTTTGGATGGAATTTTTCTGATAATCCATGTGAAAGTTATGCCCTGGTCAATTTCAGTTGACTTTTTCAGCTGTCCAAATAAGGAAACTTTTGCATCTTGATGATTTCTGAGCCAAATTTTGAGAATCATGATCAAGCATTGATCAAATGATGTTTGTGGCTTAAAAACGATATGTTGACCAAAAATTTGAACTTTTGACTGCCAAATGACCATTTTGCCCCTACAGTTGACTGTAGTGCAATTTAGGGTTTTGACTGTGCAATTTTGAGCTGAATGCCTTGAAACTTGATATGAGGATATTTGACCATATTTGTAGGCATATGAGACTTGATTGGGCCCTTGAAAACTTCCTTTTCTTGATCAGAACACAAACCCTAGTTTTGACTGTATAGGAGACAGTTGGACTGTGCAACCCTTGGGGAATTTTGCAGCTTGACTTGGCAATTTCTTGAAGAATATGGGAGGGAAAATTTTGGGGTACAACAATACCAAATTCAAAGTCCATTCTCATCAATTTAGATATTCATTTGAATTAATCTTCACCCCTGACTCTTTTATCTGTCAAAAACCGCAAACTCTTTTGATCGCCGAGGGTAATAAGATAGCTCCAAAATAAATAGTTCCTTTTGTAACCTTAACAATGGTTATAATAATGTGTGGCTAAGAAAAGCAACTAAATGGCCTTGTTGCAACAAAACTGCTCACAATCATGTATAGAAGGCATTTGCCATAGGCCATGATTCTAGTGGATGGTAGTATTTTTCCTTTCACTGTCAAAAGAGTTGTAACATTCCAGATTAAACCTATTCGATGTTCAGCTTATTTGTCTCGTTGAAACTGTTTTCTTTCTTTCTGGTTGAACTAACTACAAGTTAAAGGGTGCTACGTACCGTTCTACCAAGAAAGTTCTAAACTCTAGCAATAAGTCTAAGCGGTTATCATCACAATTCACAAATTCTTTACCCCGTTGGTGCTACGTACCGTTCTACTAAGGAAGTTCTAAACTCTAGCAATAAGACTAAGCGATTGTCATCACAATTCACAAATTCTTTACCCTGTTGGTTTGTGGCCTAGGGTCAAAAGATGTTCTACCTAACAATTCTACTGTGTGCTAACAGCTAGATCTTCACCATATTTACAAATCCTTGGTGTACAATATCCCACTTCTAAAACACCTGGCAGCACCACCTCAATAAGTGATAATTGGAGGAGAATTACAACATATATCATCTTTGCTTCTTTTTTGATAAAGATGAAATGGAATTGCAGAAAAGATATATATGTATAATGACGAACCTTAAAGTCAAATAATCTGTCACCAAGTAGAGATGTTAAACAAATGAGAAGAACAAGAAACCCAAATCCAAGAGCTGATGAAAAAAACCAGTTCATGGCGTTATTTTTGAAGAAATTTGAAAATTTATATTGTGGCTTAGCTGTGTACTTGAATAAAACCAGAGCTGCATTAAACTCAAGAACTTGGATGGTAACAAGTGATATGGCCTGCATCAATGAATGAAAATATCTTATCAAAATTAAAAAAACAGCATGAAAAAGGCTCCATTGCACACCTACCTGAGTTTGTGGGTGAAGAAGAGGTTGTTGTCCTGTGAGCAATGAAACAACGGATAAGCCTCCAAAACTGAGAGGAATATGAAGAGTGAAAAGATAGAGAGCAAGATTGGCCCATACATCCCCACTATCCCATGGACTATCTGATAAAAACTGTGTGTCTTGCTCTTTCTTTTTGCAATAGCATCTCTTCAAACTGTTGCGTTGGAAGGACAGTTGTGGTGAACAATTTGTGTTTCTTTGGTTGTAAAAGGGTTTCGCCGCCAACCTATCAAGTTCAGGGGCAAATTTAACATAAGCAGGAAACCACCCCGTAACCGACATCATCTTTATTCTTGCATTCTGTATTGAATTTTATGGTTTCTCTCTAGTTCTGTCCCAAAAAATAATAAAGAATGTCATTAGAGGATCTCCGATGATGTTATTTATCTTTAACATTTTTGTGATATCCATTCAACCAATTTATCTAATTTTATCAGTATAACTCTATTGAATTACAATATCTCGACTACTCTTTTCATCCCTTAGAATGTTCTCCTATTTTGTTTGAATATGCATCTTTAAACACATCTAAATCATATAAGTTTTTCGTAATTCAATCACTTAATTCATTTTTATCAAAAAAAAATTTGCAATCTTATGTAGGTGTATCAAGAAATACCTCTTTGTGACACTTCCTATGCTCTCTAAGTAATATCAGTGATGCACAAGGGAAAGGCTGCATATGAGCACAATAGCATAGACAGCACAATCCATGAAGACAGCATCAGCCACATTCTTCAGCACCATTCCAATTTCCAATGTTTTTGCAAGCTGTGCATATTGATCAGAAGAATCAGCGCTGGCGCTGGCACTGGCGTTGTTCCGTCTCCTCCTCAACCTTTCATCAGAGCCTCTTTGTTTCCCATAAATAATTTTCGCAACAACAAAAGACGAATTTGTGAGGAGAACCAAGTAAAGTGGTCTAAAGCTTATAATAGTCTTAATCAAAGAGAATCCTAGACAAGAGGCAACAACCAATAAGGCAACTATAATCGAACAACAAAGACGCGTAAACCTTGAGGCATCAACGACATTCGTCACATCCCTAGGGCTTATGAAATCGAAACTTCTAGGTTCTTCGAGCTGGGAAATTTCATCAGATGAATCTTGATGTGTTGTTGGTGGTTGAGGTTGAAATAGAGGTTGTGATTCTTGTACATGTTCAGGTTCAATTTCAGAATTGGGGAAACTTAAAATCTCACTTTCACTGTGTTGTTTTTCAGGCAAAATTTCGGCATCAACGTGATTCTGCAAAACGGAATTCGGATACTCCTGCTCCTTGCGTTGGCGTGAGGCAGATCTGAAGAAAAGCAGTTGTAAAATCAAAATTGAATTCTAGGGTTTGTAGATGGATGATTACAAAAGCAATAAGAAGAGAGAAAATTGAAATGAAAGATAAGAGAAGAGGTAGTTACCAGGAGGAGGGAGGGTTTGGATCCGACCCTGGATGAAGGCAAGACGGTCGGATCCTTGTTGGAGGATTCTTCTTCTTCTCCGGGCGTCTCTCAGGTTGTTTGCTTCTGTCATTTTTTTCCCCTTCCTCTTTACTTCAGCTCAGGCTTTGTATTGCCAACTGACTCAAATCCTTGAAATTTTTGTTTCTTTATGGTTTTGAGTTAACTCAATGCTGCTGCTAAAGAAATGTTAACTTTGATCTTAGTTCATTCATTTTTTATATAAATATAGTTTAAGGTTTTTTTAATATTATATATATAACATAGCGCTTTTTAATAAATGCTATTATATAGGTAGTCAAATAATAACGTTTTATACAAAATGCTATCTTAAAGAAGTATAATAATAGCGTTCTGGTACAAAGTGCTATCAAAATTACATAGTCTGTATTATATAATAGCGCCCGATTAAAAAGTGCTATTATAAATGTGTTTTTTCCATTTTAATAGCATTTTTTTTAAAAGTGCTATTAAATTAGGTGATACAAAAAATCATTTTTGGCGTAGTGTTTGTTTGGTTGGTTGTATGTATAAAGTGATTGCAAAACTTTTGGCGGGTAGATTAAAAAGAGTGTTGAATTCCATTATTTCTCCTTGTTAAAGTGAATTTGTACCGGGTAGACAATTTCTTGATGGAGTCTTGGTGTCTAACGAAGTTGTAAACTTTGCTAAGAAGGAAGGTAGGAATTTCCTTCTTTTTAAAGTGGATTTTGAAAAGGCATACGATAAATTGGATTGAAATTTTTTAAGATTTATGTTGTTAATGATGGGGTTTGAATCGGTTTGGAGAAGATGGATAGATTTATTGGTTTTTCAAAGTTAGATGTTCGTGTTAGTTAATGGTAGTCCGACGAAGGAGTTTGTGGTGGAGAAAGGATTGAGGCAAGGTGATCCCCTATCGCATTTTCTTTTTGTTATGGTAGCGGAAGATTTGACGGGGTTAGTGAAGAAATCTTTAGAAATAGGTGAATATGATGGTTTTGATATTAATGGGAATTGTCTTGTTGATATTCTCCAATTTGCGGATGATACATTGTTAATTGGGGAAGGGTCTTGGAAACACGTATGGGAAATTAAGTTGATTTTAAGGGCCTTTGAGCTTGTATCAGGAATGAGTATTAATTACCACAAAATAAAATTAATTGGTATTAATTGTAGTTGGAATTTTGTGGAAGCCGCTTATTTTGATCTCTCTTGTAAGGTGGAAGATAGTAATTTTTCTTTTCTTGAAAATTGGTTTCAATTCGAGAAAGTGTTCGACATGAATTCCTCTTCTGAACAAAATGAAGAAACATTTATCGAGTTGGAAAAATTAGTTTCTTAACCTTGGTGGTAGGGTTACTCTCTTGAAGTCCGTTCTTTGTTCTTTAACTATTTTCACAATGTCTTTCTACAAAATGCCGGTGAAGGTTGCCAAAGAATTCATGAGAATTCAAGGTAACTTCTTGTGGTGGGATTGGAGGAAAATAGAAAGATTCATTGAGTGAGTTGGAAGAATGTGTGTCTTCCTTTTGATAAGGGTGGACTAGGCATCAAAAACATAGTGGATTTTAACTTAGCACTTTTTAACAAGTGGAGATGGAGAATTTTTCAAGGTCACGATTCTCTTTGGTATAACTTATTGAAAGCTCGCTACAGAGACATTTCTATGAAGGTATTCTGTAACAAAACTTCCTTTTCTTATTCTTCATGGTAGAAGAATATCATCAAGATTGTGATAGTTTCTAAATTTGATCATATTGAGGCGAATTCTCGATTTAGCATTGGCAAAGGCTTTACTACTCCCTTTTGGGAAGCTAGTTGGTTGGAGGAAACTAGTTTGAAGGATGAATTTTCGGCCTTATACGAGGCTTCTTGTTTGAAAAAGGTGTCAGTTGTAGGAATGGGGGTTGGAGAGACGGTATGTGGTGTTGGGGCGATTGTGGCTTGAAAAGGGTGGTGATGCAAGACCCCAGCCTTCAGCCAGATTTTTATCCCTCCAAGCGAGGTTGTTAGCTCATGACATAAGGTTGGTTGGTAAGGATAAACTGGTTTGGTATAAGGCCCCGGATGGAGTTTTTTCAGTGTCATCTTGTTATGATCACTATGCTAGATTTTGAATTCCTTTCGGTCCTCTTAATAGGTATGATGATGTTTTGGGTATGGTGTGGAAAATGGAAGTACCCTTAAAGATTAAGGCGTTTGGGTAGAGATTTTTTGTTAATAGACTTCCATCGAAGGATATTTTGATGTATAGAGGTATTGTCTTTCCCATAGATTCTTTAAAGTGTGTTTTATGTGGTTTAGAGTTGGAAAATAGAGATCATTCTTTTTTCAAGTGTACTGTGGTGAAGATTATTTATAGGGAAATAGCTTTATGGGTGGGCAAGATGGTTGGGATGGAGGAAGAATGTTTATCGAATTTTGTGAATTGATACCCTTTTTGTAAAAAAAAAAGGTTAAAGACGACATACTAGGAGTTGTTTGGCTTGCAACTTTGTGGACTATTTGGTTATTGCGGAACGAGATTTGTTTCCAAAATGACGTGTGAAATATTAATAATACGGTTTGAAGCATTAAAACTTTGGTTTCAAGGTGATCTTTTATAAGAGATATTACTCACTTCAATTGTAGTCTTTATGAGTTTAGAAAATACCCTTTATTATTTCTTTCGTAATTCTAATTGATTTATAATCTCTTTCTTTTATCAGATTATTGCATTCGATGTGTAAATAAGTTGAAGAACCCTTAATTCTCCCTTATATATCTTGCTTACACAAAAAAATCCTTATTTCAAAACTAAGAGTAAATAATCTATTCTCACTTGCATAATTGGTAATGTCTCTCTGGACAAGATCCATGTTTAACATGTGTTGCAGGCTGCTTCAAAGGGAATGTATATTAATTGGTGTTAGGGGAGGCTCGCGAGACATTTTACTTCTCTTAAACATGTCCTTTTGGTCATCCTTCCACTTGGTAAAACATCTCCCTAAACGTGTACTGTGGTGAAGATTATTTATAGGGAAATAGCTTTATGGGTGGGCAAGATGGTTGGGATGGAGGAAGAATGTTTATCGAATTTTGTGAATTGATACCCTTTTTGTAAAAAAAAGAAGGTTAAAGACGACATACTGGGAGTTGTTTGGCTTGCAACTTTGTGGACTATTTGGTTATTGCGGAACGAGATTTGTTTCCAAAATGACGTGTGAAATATTAATAATACGGTTTGAAGCATTAAAACTTTGGTTTCAAGGTGATCTTTTATAAGAGATATTACTCACTTCAATTGTAGTCTTTATGAGTTTAGAAAATACCCTTTATTATTTCTTTCGTAATTCTAATTGATTTATAATCTCTTTCTTTTATCAGATTATTGCATTCGATGTGTAAATAAGTTGAAGAACCCTTAATTCTCCCTTATATATCTTGCTTACACAAAAAAATCCTTATTTCAAAACTAAGAGTAAATAATCTATTCTCACTTGCATAATTGGTAATGTCTCTCTGGACAAGATCCATGTTTAACATGTGTTGCAGGCTGCTTCAAAGGGAATGTATATTAATTGGTGTTAGGGGAGGCTCGCGAGACATTTTACTTCTCTTAAACATGTCCTTTTGGTCATCCTTCCACTTGGTAAAACATCTCCCTAAACGTGTACTGTGGTGAAGATTATTTATAGGGAAATAGCTTTATGGGTGGGCAAGATGGTTGGGATGGAGGAAGAATGTTTATCGAATTTTGTGAATTGATACCCTTTTTGTAAAAAAAAAAGGTTAAAGACGACATACTAGGAGTTGTTTGGCTTGCAACTTTGTGGACTATTTGGTTATTGCGGAACGAGATTTGTTTCC